AGGGCAATATGAACCAGCCGTTCCTAGTTTCGAAGTGATAGGCTAGAGGGAAGGAAGCTATCCAACTCATCACCCACCGCCAACTCTTGGACTACTCTAATGGAATAATGAAAGTTGACCTTCCCTACATTCTCGAAGTGCAGAGCGCGATTTTTGTATTTTTATTTTGTTTTTGCAGTAATGGAGTGCGAACCACGGAATTTCGGAAACACGGTCCGACACGTTAATCACTAAGCCTCGTTCGCCTCAATTATTAGTTAGTAAGACCTTTTGCTTAACAGCGAAAACGAAACGTTGGACTATTATATATGTAGCGGGCATTTCTGATTCTTAAGGAAACGATGAGAGTAATTTCCCTTGTAAAGTTTCGAAATTATTGTTTTATCTAGTGTTTTGTAGAATTTACAACAAAACTTAAGTGTTTATTATGAAAACTTGCTAAGCTTTTGTTTTTTGTATTAAAATACCATTTCTACTCTAAACATAAATCTGGATATAAACATGGCGCTTCAAAGCAGGTTCTTATCCATAGGTTTTCAGGTATACTACAAAGAGTCATAAGTCAGAAATCTTTATTGTTTTTAACCAGTCAGTCATTACTCTTTCATGACCAGAGGGGTTGCTATGTCCTGTTTACGTATTTTCTCAAACAAAAGCTTAGATACCCAACTTTTAGTTTTTATTTTATTTTGAGAATTGACTTATTAAGGAAATTATATTTTCTGGCATTTCTCTATATAAAGGATTATAACCCAAACTTTTACTTCCCGATTGAATGACAGGCAAAGAGTCACATATTTATAACCGCCCATTACTGAAATAGGTAAGATCCCAAAATGCTATGTTCGTACATCCAACAATGATGTATTTAACAGAATATTATTTAAACGTTAAAAAGCATCTTACGATAACTCCCAAAGATATTGCAAACACTTATATCACATTCTCCAGTTTTAATTTCAGAAAAACAAAAGAAAGAAAGCACTTGAGTGTATAAACCCGAAAAGAAGTATTTCAAACCATAAGTCAGTCACGCGTCGTGAAACTGCACGGAAATACAGAAATAAGCACTTTAAACCGTAAGTTAAAACAAAAACACTAAAACATAAGTCAGACACGTATAGTGAAACTGCGCAGAAATACAAAAAGAAGCATTTTAAACCGTAAGTTAAAACAAATACACTAAGCCATAAGTTAGTCACGCGTCGTGAAACTGCGCGGAAGTACAGAAATAAGCACTTTAAACCGTAAGATAAAACAAAAACACTAACCCATAAGTCAGACACGTATGGTGAAACTGAACTAAACAACAAAAAGGAGCATTTCATAGTATAAGTTAGTCACGCGTCGTGAAACTGCACGGAGTGTTTTAACTTACGGGTTAAAGTGCTTATTTCTGTATTTAAACCATAAGTTTGTCACGCGTCGTGAAACTGCGCGGAAATACAGAAATAAGCACTTTAAACCGTAAGTTAAAACAAGAACATTAAGACTTAAGTTAATCACGCGTCGTGAAACTGTGCAGTAATACAGAAATAAGCACTTTAAACCGTAAGTTAAAACAAAAAACACTAAGCCATAAGTCAGACACGTATGGTGAAACTGAACTAAATAACAAAAAGGAGCATTTCAAAGCATAAGTCACTCATGAGTGGATAAACTGAGCTAATAAATGTAACGTTCTTTTGTGTAGTATTTCAGTGTGAATGTCCACAAGTTAAAGATGAAGCTGAAGACAAGGCTGGATATAAGGTGAAGTAGAATATAACACAGAGTTCACCAAGGGCACATCGAATCTGATCTATTTATATATTATGTTAACATAAGATATAATAATCGAGTCACTGATCACAGAAGAGTAAGAACTGCTAAAAAGCTAAGATAAGTATTGTTTTCAAATACTAACGCACGTATAATTCATGTTTTTAGAGCTGCGTTGTAATTAATGAGCTCAAAATACCACAAAAGTGATCAAGATGGTG